AAACACAAATTAATGACATCGAAATAGGGAGTAAGCTAGGAAACAGTGATCCCAAAGTAATCAGATTTAGCATAGAATGGAATAGATCTGTAGGAAAAAATTCTGTTAAAGTGCCAGATTTTCGAAAAGCTGATTTTAATAGCCTAAGAATTTTTTTTGGTCAAATAGATTGGAATGTCTTGGACATGGGAGGTGGGCCGTTCATGGAGCGAGACGTGAACCCAGCGACAGGTGACGTAAAAAGGGATTTCGATGTGGATTCAAAATATAACTTATTTAAAAATATTCTAAGCAAAGCACAGGAACGTAGTATACCATACAAATTGAATAGATCGAATACTAATGACCCAAAATGGATAACAAAGGATCTGAAGAACCTTATAGGTAAAAAGAGAGCATGGTACAAAAGGACTAAAATTAGGTAGTTAGTTTAGAACAGGAATTCGTACAACTAGTTAAAAATGTTAAAAAGTCTGGTCGCCGTACTATATAATGGATATAAATTCACTTAAATGTGTCCAGCGTAGGATGACAAATTTAATTCCCTAAATTAGAAACCTGTCATGTGAAGAGAGATTAACAAAGCTTAAATTGCATGCACTGGAAAGGCGAAGAGTTAGGGGTGACATAATAGAGGTTTACAAGTAGATGAATGGACATAACAGAGGGGACATTAATAGGGTATTAAAAGTATCAACACAAGACAAAACACGAAACAATGGGTATAAATTGGATAAGTTTAGATTTAGGTAAGACTTGGGTAAATACTGGTTTGGTAACAGGTTTGTTGATTTGTGGAACCAATTATAGCGTAACTTGGCAGAGGTGGGGTCCATCGACTGTTTCAAACGTTATCTTGAGGTTATCGTGAGATGATTTCGGGGCTTTTTAGTATCCCCGCGGCCCGGTCCTCGACCAGGCCTCCACCCCCCAGGAAGCAGCCTGTGACAGCTGACTAACATCCAGGTACCTATTTTACTGCTAGGTAACAGGGGGCATAGGGTGAAAGAAACTCTGCCCATTGTTTCTCGCCGGCGCCTGGGATCGAACCCAGGACCACAGGATCACAAGTCCAACGTGCTGTCCGCTCGGCCGACCGGCCGACCGTGGGTTGGACATGTTTATGAGTGGGAGTGTGTTGTTATAAATAGGAGCTCCCTTCTATGAGCCAATGAGCCTTCTGAAGTTACCTTTGTTCTCATATTCTAGTCCTATATAGTTATACTTAATTAGCTCCTTCTTTTTATAAATATTTATATAAATTCTTACTTATTGGAAACTTATTTATGACAGAATATTATATGCACAGCTTTATCACACGCCTAACATTCCACCATGACATTTGTTAGAAGGAAATGTTCACAAACGACTTATCCTGCCCGGGAGTCTAACCCGGGACCATTCTATCGTGAGCCGACCGCTCTCTCGAGAGGTAGCACAGAATATATTCATGGAAAAGGCTGGAGAGCCAGATGCCAAATCTACACACTAAAATAACAACATACTGGAGTGAACGATATGGAAGGAAGTGCAGAACAGAGCCAGTGAAGAGCAGAGGTGCCATAGGCACAATCAGAGAACACTGAATAAACATCAGAGGTCCATGGTTGTTCAATACTCTTCCAGGGAGTATAAAAATATTGAAGGAACAAAATTGGATGTCTTCAAGAAAAAAATGGATAGTTTTCTTCAAGAATTCCGGCCTAACCAGACTATGGTGGATATGTGGGGCCTATGGGCCGCTCCAAGCAACAGCCTGTTGCACCAAGCTCTCACAAGTAAAGCCTGGCTTCGGGCTGGGCTTGGGGAGTAGAAGAACTCCCTGCAGAACATCATCTAGGTACAATCAAAGAATAATCAATTCAAGGCAACAAATCACTTTTGGTACAATCTTAACGACAAGGAGAGGCATGGAGACTCGACCCTGGATTCAACAAGCAGTTACACAAGTACTTACGAACCTGAACATCTTGCCTTAAGCTTTAGCGGCTTTGTTTACGTCTATTTAACAGTTTATAAGGTCTGTAGCCCCAGGAGGATGTTTATAATAATAATAACATTTGAGTGCATAATTCTGATGCTCATAAACTGTTTACTAAATGTAAACAGAGCCGCCAAAGATTGAGAAAAGATGTTGAGGCTCGTACATAGACAAGGATCAATGCTTGTTAACCTTGGTGGTGAACAAGTTTACCGTCCAGGTCTCGATAGTGCCGTCAGCCGCCCATCCTCCCTTAATGATAGGACTTACATCAACTATTTGCTCGAGCTTACCTATCTGTATGTACTGTTGTGCTCCCGACAGTTCACGTTGTGTATTGCTGAATTAATCCAAATGGTATTCTGTTATGTCCGAAATGTAGCTAAAGAAGCTGTCCAAGCAATCCTAGGCTTAATACACGTTATCTTAAACCTTAAATAGTACATATATGTGCTATAATAGGCCTAGGAATGTTTATGTTTGGTTTTTAGTTTTAAAAACCAAACAGAGTTGCTAACCACTTGGGCTGGAGAGTCGGTAGAGCGGCGGTCTCTCTTCATGCATGGTCGTCGTTCAATCCCCAACCGTCCAAGTGGTTGGGCACCATTCCTTCCCCGGGTCCCATCCCAAGTCCTCATCCATGGCCCCTTCCGAATGCTATATAGTTGTAATGGCTTGGCGCTTCCCCCTGATAATTCCCGCCCTCCCTCCCTCCTTCTTCTTCTTCTGGTTATCTTGAGATGATTCCGGGGCTTAGCGTCATGGCGGCCCGGTCCTCGACCAGGCATCCGTTTTTGTTACACACCCCTAGGAAGCAGCCCGTAACATCTGTCTAACTCCCAGGTACCTATCTACTGCTTGGTAACAGGAACATCAGGGTGAAAGAAACTCTGCCCATTTGTTTCCGCCTCCACCGGGAATCGAACCCGGAACCTCAGGACTACGAATCCGACGTGCTGTCCACTCAGCTGTCAGGCCTCCTCCGGAAATAACATTTATAGTAGAACATGTAAACATGTCAGTGTTTAACGACACACATCGGCACGTTCGATCAAGAAGTCGCTATCGTTAAGAAGGATGGCTTGACGTCAAGTGATCCTCTTCAAGAGGTCCCGAATGATACGACGCCTGGCGTGGTCATCGCCAGGGTCACAGGGAAGTAGATAATATTTTCCGTTTCCCGACTTGATATTCAGACGTCAGATATGGGTCCGGCGCCGGCTTGGCCAGGAGCTGCTGGCACTGGCTCCTGGTGTGGCTCACGCTCCGCCGATCATTGGAAGACGTTTCTTACCAGAATTTACCTGAAGACCACTGTCTCTCTTATGGTCTCGACGAAGACAAGACAAGAAGTCGACGGCTTATCAAAGGTCCCCCATTTATCTTGGTAATTTTGTCTATTTGTATCTTAAATTGCAGCAATGTATTGGCATTCACGGCTTCAGCGGCTAGGCGGTTCCGTGGGTTTATAACCCTATGGTTGGAAAAACATTTCCTGTTTTCTGTCCAACACTGTGGGATGTTGAGCTTGAAAGTGTTGCTCCTTGTTAGTGTTACATCTGATATTTTGAAGAAGTGGTCTGGATAAATATCCTCCACGTAGTTCAATATTTTAAAAACTACGATGAGATCAGCCCTGGCATGTCTGGTTTTAGTGTTATTGGTCTCACGTCCTAAACTGCTCCTGGTGTGAGAGTTGGCTTAGTTCAGGGATGATTGTTGTCTCCCAGTGTTGAACTTTCTCAAAAGCAGATTTGTCTTGCTGAAGATGAGGTCTTTATGCTAAGATGCAATAATTCAAGTGGGGGAGCACCAGAGATTTATGCAGTTGAATAACTACCTCCTTTTCCCTGAAAGCAAAGTTCCGTCTGACTATTACTAAAATTTGGTTGGGAATTTTTACTGCTGCTACCACTTGTGAAACTTTCAATATCATGTAGATTCGGACTCCATGGTTATTTTCTTCACCAATCTATTGTATGTGTTGTGATGTGCATTTTTATGCAGCACATGCAAGGTCCTGCATTTTTTATATTAAAAAGCATCTGCCAATCTTATTGAACTTGAAATTTCTGAATAATTTTCATCTCAAACGGTTCGGGCTGCAACCGGTCTTGGCGGCCCCCTTCCCTTCCCCAAAGTGGAGCATTTTGAGAAATGCACTCCGAACATAGGTAGTAAGCGAGGCATTTGGCTAGTGTTTTGCTGCTGGGCTGTCATGAAACAATTTGTACACTCGAATAATACATTGCATTTTGATATTAAAATCCTCAACGGACAAAATATGATGTATTGCAAAACATATCTGCACTCAAAAGTTCACGTTTTCTATATATGGGTCATCGGTCAGGTTAGGCTCGAGCAATTTAGTAAATTTGCGTAACCTCAGTCTATATTCATTCCACCCAGCGGTAGACCTCAAAGACGCATTCATCAATGTTAACATGCTGTTAATTCAAAATAGTAATTTTCTCAAATATAAATTAATATTAAATTTTAGCGTATTGTGAATATTTAGGCATTGGCTAAGTTAGGTTAGGTGATTAAGTTCTGTTGGCGATTATTTGTTATTGTAGTACGTGGGTGAGGATTTTCAGCGTTGTGGTTCAAACAAAAGTCGTCAGCGAAACATTGTTCAGGAAATATTCAAACGTCATCAGTTGAGAGTCGTGCGTAAACCGATTTTCATGCACAAACAGGGGGTTTGGCGGGTGCATGGAATCACTTATGGCTTTAGTTTATGAGGATGAGCTAGGTTATGAGGACGGGCTGAATTTTTTAGTCGTGGGAACTGGAGACGACGGGCTGTGAGGAAAGACAATGAGGCTTCGAGCGGGTTGGTGGTTGGGTTGGCTCGAGGCTCGAGGCTCGAGAAGCAGACCTTCTGAACCCTCTACTCGCACGGGTCATTTCATTTGGTCGTTTGCTATACATAGTGATGGACATGCGCCGGGACACAAGTAAACCAAGCAGTGTAAACCATTTCTAAGGGTCTACACAGTGAGTTTCCTTTAGTCCTATGTTCAGGGCTGAAGTGTACTTGCTGGCAGGTCAGTAAACAGTTCTGGTGGCCTTAATAACTCCTCCAGAGCCAGATAGGCCATAAGCCCAGCGCTAACCTAGTGAAGTGAGTGTTGTGTGTGACGGAATATTGTAGGTGTTATTGAAGAATAAAATAAACACGTGTTCGGGCAGAGGGAGTTAATAGGGACGGGATGATGACGTGTTATTCCTGAACAATTCTTGTGTTACAAGTGGCGCGTGAACTTTGATCCCATATTCCTTGTCTTGCTTGATAATAAAGTGCTCAATGTGGTTATGACTGAACAAGACATGATATAAGTATATTTTAATTACTTGTTTCTTGTCTTCCAAGATCCTAAAAGTTACATTTGTATTGTAAGTTAAAAGTTAAGTAAGACATCAAGGAAGACTGTCATTACTATTTGATGTTGATGACATGAAAGTGTTCAGTGTTGGTCCAGTGTTTAGTGTTTAAGACGTCTTGAAACATTCGTCAATGTTACCTAATCTATCCTGAGTGAAGCTATCAAGTTTGTGAATATGCGAGTGTCGCGGGCAGTGTCTTGTCGACCACACCTGTCTGTCATCCCTATATCCCAGGGCCCATGACGTCACTAGACCCCAGGGCTATCGTCTGACGTCACTAGACCCCAGGGCTATCGTCTGACGTCACTAGACCCCAGGGCTATCGTCTGACGTCACTAGACCCCAGGGCTATCGTCTGACGTCACTAGACCCCAGGGCTATCGTCTGACGTCACTAGACCCCAGGGCTATCGTCTGACGTCACTAGACCCCAGGGCTATCGTCTGACGTCACTAGACCCCAGGGCTATCGTCTGACGTCACTAGACCCCAGGGCTATCGTCTGACGTCACTAGACCCCAGGGCTATCGTCTGACGTCACTAGACCCCAGGGCTATCGTCTGACGTCACTAGACCCCAGGGCTATCGTCTGACGTCACTAGACCCCAGGGCTATCGTCTGACGTCACTAGACCCCAGGGCTATCGTCTGACGTCACTAGACCCCAGGGCTATCGTCTGACGTCACTAGACCCCAGGGCTATCGTCTGACGTCACTAGACCCCAGGGCTATCGTCTGACGTCACTAGACCCCAGGGCTATCGTCTGACGTCACTAGACCCCAGGGCTATCGTCTGACGTCACTAGACCCCAGGGCTATCGTCTGACGTCACTAGACCCCAGGGCTATCGTCTGACGTCACTAGACCCCAGGGCTATCGTCTGACGTCACTAGACCCCAGGGCTATCGTCTGACGTCACTAGACCCCAGGGCTATCGTCTGACGTCACTAGACCCCAGGGCTATCGTCTGACGTCACTAGACCCCAGGGCTATCGTCTGACGTCACTAGACCCCAGGGCTATCGTCTGACGTCACTAGACCCCAGGGCTATCGTCTGACGTCACTAGACCCCAGGGCTATCGTCTGACGTCACTAGACCCCAGGGCTATCGTCTGACGTCACTAGACCCCAGGGCTATCGTCTGACGTCACTAGACCCCAGGGCTATCGTCTGACGTCACTAGACCCCAGGGCTATCGTCTGACGTCACTAGACCCCAGGGCTATCGTCTGACGTCACTAGACCCCAGGGCTATCGTCTGACGTCACTAGACCCCAGGGCTATCGTCTGACGTCACTAGACCCCAGGGCTATCGTCTGACGTCACTAGACCCCAGGGCTATCGTCTGACGTCACTAGACCCCAGGGCTATCGTCTGACGTCACTAGACCCCAGGGCTATCGTCTGACGTCACTAGACCCCAGGGCTATCGTCTGACGTCACTAGACCCCAGGGCTATCGTCTGACGTCACTAGACCCCAGGGCTATCGTCTGACGTCACTAGACCCCAGGGCTATCGTCTGACGTCACTAGACCCCAGGGCTATCGTCTGACGTCACTAGACCCCAGGGCTATCGTCTGACGTCACTAGACCCCAGGGCTATCGTCTGACGTCACTAGACCCCAGGGCTATCGTCTGACGTCACTAGACCCCAGGGCTATCGTCTGACGTCACTAGACCCCAGGGCTATCGTCTGACGTCACTAGACCCCAGGGCTATCGTCTGACGTCACTAGACCCCAGGGCTATCGTCTGACGTCACTAGACCCCAGGGCTATCGTCTGACGTCACTAGACCCCAGGGCTATCGTCTGACGTCACTAGACCCCAGGGCTATCGTCTGACGTCACTAGACCCCAGGGCTATCGTCTGACGTCACTAGACCCCAGGGCTATCGTCTGACGTCACTAGACCCCAGGGCTATCGTCTGACGTCACTAGACCCCAGGGCTATCGTCTGACGTCACTAGACCCCAGGGCTATCGTCTGACGTCACTAGACCCCAGGGCTATCGTCTGACGTCACTAGACCCCAGGGCCCTCGTCCTTCAAGCAAGGTAAGCACAACCTCAAGCTTCAAGTATCAACTTTACTTCAGCTGTTAATGTACATATGGATCAAAATGTGATCATTCATATTGGTGTTCAATTATAACTGTGAGTTAATGTTACGGAAATTTTAAAACTGTTTACAACTAATTAACTTTCTTATTACAGGTAAGTACACACGAACAGCTCCTCGAGGGACAAATTCTTCTGACTCTAAGGTACGTTCCCATTTCCTTGTTCCACAAATCTGTTTAAATTAAGACTAAATCAACAATAACACAATTTTGGTTATGTTCCAAATTCCTTCATTGATTTACGGGCTCTAAAGTCCCCTACCTGGGTCTTGGAGGCCCTAGAATCCCTTATCTAGGCTTTGTAGGCACAAGAGCATCCTAAGGCTGTCCTTGGAGGTATCCGACACCCCTTACTCAGGCTTTGGAGGAACCCTACTCCCTCTAATTCTGCCCCTAGACGCAATCGACACCACCTAACTCTGGCCTTACAGGCACTCGAGACTTCCTACTTCGGGTTTTAGAGGCATTCGAAACCCCTAATCCGGGCTTTGGAGGTACTCGAGACCCCTAGCCAGTCCTTGGAGGCATTTGAAACCCCTTGCCAGTCCTTGGAGGCACTGGAGACCCCTAGGCAGTCGTTGGAGGCACTCGAAACCCCTAGACAGTCGTTGGAGGCACTCGAGACCCCTAAGCAGTCGTTGGAGGCACTCGAGACCCCTAGGCAGTCGTTGGAGGCACTCGAGACCCCTAGGCAGTCGTTGGAGGCACTCGAGACCCCAAGGCAGTCGTTGGAGGCACTCGAGACCCTTAGGCAGTCGTTGGAGGCACTCGAGACCCCTAGCCAGTCGTTGGAGGCACTCGAGACCCCTAGCCAGTCCATGGAGGCACTCGAGACCCCTAGCCAGTCCTTGGAGGCACTCGAGACCGCTAGCCAGTCCTTGGAGGCACTCGAGACCCCTAGCCAGTCCTTGGAGGCACTCGAGACCCCTAGCCAGTCCTTGGAGGCACTCGAGACCCCTAGCCAGTCCTTGGAGGCACTCGAGACCCCTAGCCAGTCCTTGGAGGCACTCGAGACCCCTAGCCAGTCCTTGGAGGCACTCGAGACCCCTAGCCAGTCCTTGGAGGCACTCGAGACCCCTAGCCTGTCATTGGAGGCACTCGAGACCCCTAGCCTCTCATTGGAGGTATTCGAGACCCCTAGCCTGTCATTGGAGGTATTCGAGACCCCTAGCCTGTCATTGGAGGTATTCGAGACCCCTAGCCTGTCATTGGAGGTATTCGAGACCTTTAGCCTGTCATTGGAGGTATTCGAGATCCCTAGCCTGTCATTGGAGGTATTCGAGATCCCTAGCCTGTCATTGGAGGTATTCGAGACCCCTAGCCTGTCATTGGAGTTATTCGAGACCCCTAGCCTGTCATTGGAGGTATTTGAGATCCCTAGCCTGTCATTGGAGGTATTCGAGATCCCTAGCCTGTCATTGGAGGTATTCGAGATCCCTAGCCTGTCATTGGAGGTATTCGAGATCCCTAGCCTGTCATTGGAGGTATTCGAGATCCCTAGCCTGTCATTGGAGGTATTCGAGATCCCTAGCCTGTCATTGGAGGTATTCGAGATCCCTAGCCTGTCATTGGAGGTATTCGAGACCCCTAGCCTGTCATTGGAGTTATTCGAGACCCCTAGCCTGTCATTGGAGGTATTCGAGATCCCTAGCCTGTCATTGGAGGTATTCGAGATCCCTAGCCTTTCATTGGAGGTATTCGAGATCCCTAGCCTGTCATTGGAGGTATTCGAGACCCCTAGCCTGTCATTGGAGGTATTCGAGATCCCTAGCCTGTCATTGGAGGTATTCGAGACCTCCATCCCTACCCTTGCAGGCATTAGAACTTTGTTCTAATTAGTTATACTCTGGAGAAAGAATAATTTTGTACTGTGAATGTAAAAATGTGTTAATTTGCATATCTCTAACCTAGGTATTATCATTTATATCTTTGCATTTGTACCTACTTTTATAAGTGGTTGTATGTATTTGTACGTTGTGAATAATATTAACCGTGTGTGGATTTGGTGCCTTTTGATAATTACTTATTGTGTGCGGAAGGAAATATAGATGACTTAACAGAACGTGAAGTTATATGTCGATGTTTTGTGATGTTTTGATCACAAAACCCCTTGTATTAACTGGGTGAGGAAGTAGGTTGAGCTATATCGTCCCTTTGTGTGTATTTGCATCTCAGTTAACCTATTTCAGTGTCGCTGAGCCCAGTTCCAACATGAGGTTGAAGCAATATAATACCACTTATATATTCTTTGTTTACTTTCAACATTGCAGACGAAAATAGTACTTTTACTGATAAATGAAGATATATTTGTTTATCTAAGAGCTATTTGATCCACACCAACTAGCTGTACCTGTAATGCAGTGAGTTGAGGAAATTGCACTCTCCATTGCGACCCAGAATGTCTATGTAAAATACATCAAACACAAACTCTGTGAATTATTTGACTTGTTTACTATTGACACTTGATCAACGCTTATATGTGGATGGAACCTATTAAATTAAGTTACATATGTATTTATTTTTGGGGAAGAATATAGAGAAATAAAATTAAATATTTTGCATAAAAATCTGCCCTTCCCCCCCCCCAAAAAAAAAAGTATTCAATTATTGAGAAGGAAGTGCTTGTTTGTTTGTTTGTTTTAGTAGCTGATAGCCAATTTGGAACACAATACTACACACACACACACACACACACACACACACACACACACACACACCAGATGAAGAGCTGGTCTCTTTACAAGAAGAGATTAACTCAACTTTTTAACTGAGTAATGGTGGAAAATGTAAGTTCACATAAGTAGTAGTAAATATATAATGATAATCTTTTTCCTTAAAAGTGGAAATTCTCCTTTAACTTAAGTAAAAAATGATGGCAAATTCATTAACTCAATCACGGCCCAACCACTTGGATTGGACGGTAGAGCGACGGTCTGGTATCATGTTGGTCGGCGTTCAATCTCCGACCGTCCAAATGGTTGGGCACCATTCCTCCTCCTCCCCCCCCCCCCCGTCTCATCCCAAATCCTTATCCTGACTCATTTCTAAGTGCTAAATAGTCGTAATGGCTTGGCGCTTTCCCCTGATAGTTCCCGTCTTCAGTGTAATTAAACTGCTAAGATGCAGCAGCTCAGCTGGTTAATCAAGATCAAAGTTGAACTCGTTTATTGCTTCTGGGTGATGCAGTTTTAATGGACTTAAATTATCCAAAGGCATTTGTTTACTATTTCAAATTTCTATACAGAAAAATAGTTATTAAAGCTTTGGGAGAGAAAAGTGACATTATCAAGAGTTTTAATTCTCTTAAAATATATTCAGCAAAAATGTTCTCGGCAAAATGTTGCAACAATGTTTGAAACACACAACAGGTGGTTTGATCACGTTTAATTCTTGCTAGCAATAGTCTTACCATCTACTGCAAGCATTGAGCATATTAAATGTTATAATATATTAACGCTTTATTCCATAAAGGTTTACATTTATATTATTATACGTGCTAAAAATATTAGTTAACGCAAGTTGGTAACCCATATCATATAAAAACTGTTAAGGTATTGTTTCTTTGAACCACAATTATGACTAACAGTTCTTAGCTCTCTCACCCTGGTGAGTATCTCGCCTCGCCACAACCAGCAAACTTGAGTGATAAAGTAAATGATTTTATTTAGCTCTAATCATAAATTAGAACATTTCAAATATTCTGTTGTTTAATGAGCTTCCTTTGATAAAATTACACCGATGATTATTGACTGAGAATGTCGCTCACACTTGCTTATTTGTTGTGGATTTTTGGTATTGTTTGCCGCGACCCATTATATTTATATCGCGACCCACTAATGGGTCGAGACCCACGCTTTGAAAATCCCTGCCTTAGACCCCACGACTTCCACAGTTTAGATACCCCCCCCACCACCACCACGGGTCCCCCCCCCACCACTGGTCCCCCCCACCACCACCCCACTGGTCCCCCCCACCACCACTGGTCCCCCCCCCACCACCACTAGTCCCCCTGGTCCCCCCCCACCCCACTGGTCCCCCCCCACCCGTCCCCCTCTTAAAAAAAACGTCACTTTTGGCTCGTATGCACACTATGGCCAAATTTGGACGTAATTTGAAATGAAATTTACTCACAAAAGTGACGTACTGTTCCGTTTTCTGTTTGAGTCGTCCGGCCCTCCTAGGACAGCTTAGAAGAGGAACTTTCAATTAACGTTTTTCATAACGTTTTGAAACTTTGAGAATTTCCTGCCCACCTAACCTATCAGAGGACCCTTAACTAACTGTTGTTGAAAAAAAAATCCCTAATTTATTTTTCAATTTATTTTCATTTTCAAATTACGTCCATATTCGGCCATACGGGCAAACGGCCAAAAGCGACGTTCTTTTTATGAGGACAGGTGGTGCCACCACCTCTGGTCCTCCAACACCTCAGGTACCCCCCACCACCACCACCTCTGGTCCCCCCACCACCACCACCACCTCTGGTCCCCCCCACCACCACCACCTCTGGTCCCCCCCCCCACCACCACCACCTCTGGTCCCCCCCCACCACCACCACCTCTGGTCCCCCCCCCACCCTTGCCCACCACCTCTGGTCCCCCCCCCCCAACCACCACCTCTGGTCCCCCCCCCCCACCACCACCTCTGGTCCCCCCCCACCACCACCTCTGGTCCCCCCCCCACCACCACCTCTGGTCCCCCCCCCACCACCACCTCTGGTCCCCCCCCCACCACCTCAGGTCCCCCCCACCACCTCTGGTCCCCCCCCACCACCACCACCTCTGTCCCCCCCCCCACCACCACCACCTCTGGTCCCCCCCCCACCACCAACTCTGGTCCCCCCACTACCACCACCACCTCTGGTCCCCCCCCACCCCACCACCTCTGGTCCCCCCCACCACCTCTGGTCCCCCCCCCCACCACCTCTGGTCCCCCCCCACCACCTCTGGTCCCCCCCCACCACCTCTGGTCCCCCCCCCACCACCTCAGGTCCCCCCCACCACCTCAGGTCCCCCCCCTACCACCTCAGGTCCCCCCCCCTACCACCTCAGGTCCCCCCCCTACCACCTCAGGTCCCCCCACCACCTCTGGTACCCCCCACCACCACCACCTCAGGTCCCCCCCCACCACCTCTGGTACCCCCCACCACCACCACCACCTCTGGTCCCCCCACCACCACCTCTGGTCCCCCCCCCCCACCTCTGGTCCCCCCTACCACCTCAGGTCCCCCCCCCCACCACCTCTGGTCCCCCCCACCACCTCAGGTTCCCCCCCACCACCTCTGGTCCCCCCCACCACCACCTCAGGTCCCCCCCCCCACCACCTCTGGTCCCCCCCACCACCTCTGCCCACCCTACCACCACCTCTGGTCCCCCACCACCGTCTCTGGTCCCCCCCCACCACCTCTGGTTCCCCCCCCCCACCACCTCTGGTCCCCCCCCCCACCACCTCTGGTCCCCCCCCCACCACCTCTGGTCCCCCCCACCACCTCTGGTCCCCCCCACCACCTCTGGTCCCCCCCCCCACCTCTGGTTCCCCCCGCACCACTTCTGGTTCCCCCCCCCACCACCTCTGGTTCCCCCCCCCCCCCCCCCCCACCACCTCTGGTTCCCCCCCCCACCACCTCTGGTTCCCCCCCAACCACCTCTGGTTCCCCTCCCCCACCACCTCTGATTCCCCCCCCACCACCTCTGGTTCCCCCCCCCCACCACCTCTGGTTCCCCCCCCCCCCACCTCTGGTTCCCCCCCCCCCCCACCACCTCTGGTTCCCCCCCCCCACCACCTCTGGTTCCCCCCCCCACCACCTCTGGTTCCCCCCCCCCCCACCACCTCTGGTTCCCCCCCCCACCACCTCTGGTTCCCCCCCCACCACCTCTGGTTCCCCCCCACCACCTCTGGTTCCCCCCCCCCACCACCTCTGGTTCCCCCCCCCCCCACCACCTCTGGTTCCCCCCCCCCCCACCACCTCTGGTTCCCCCCCCCACCACCTCTGATTCCCCCCCCACCACCTCTGGTTCCCCCCCCCCATCACCTCTGGTTCCCCCCCCCACCACCTCTGGTTCCCCCCCCCCACCACCTCTGGTTCCCCCCCACCACCTCTGGTTCCCCCCCACCACCACCTCTGGTTCCCCCCCCCCACCACCTCTGGTTCCCCCCCCCCACCACCTCTGGTTCCCCCCCCACCACCTCTGGTTCCCCCCCCACCACCTCTGGTTCCCCCCCCACCACCTCTGGTTCCCCCCCACCACCACCACAGGTCCCCCCCCACCACCTCAGGTCCCCCCCACCACCTCAGGTCCCCCCCCCCCCACCTCAGGTCCCCCCCCCACCACCTCAGGTCCCCCCCCCACCACCTCAGGTCCCCCCCCACCACCTCAGGTCCCCCCCCCTCCACCTCAGGTCCCCCCCCTCCACCTCAGGTCCCCCCCCTCCACCTCAGGTCCCCCCCCTCCACCTCAGGTCCCCCCCCTCCACCTCAGGTCCCCCCCCCTCCACCTCAGGTCCCCCCCCTCCACCTCAGGTCCCCCCCCTCCACCTCAGGTCCCCCCCACCACGTCGGTTCCCCCCCCCCCACCACCTCTGGTCCCCCCCAACCACCTCTGGTCCCTCCTCCACCACCACCTCTGTTCCCCCCCCTCCACCACCACCTCTGGTCCCCCCCCCCACCACCACCCTCTCGGGTCCCCCCCCCCCCCCCACCACCCTGTCGGTTCCCCCCCCACCACCACCACCACCTCTGGTCCCCCCCCCCCCACCATGATCTCAGGACCCACCCAAAGATTAG